ACCTGCGGACCCCACCCTGAGAAGAATGGCTGTAGGCCCGGCCCAGCGGGCAGGAGGTCTGTGTCCTCAGTAAACGTGACGGCGCTTCCCGCTGCCCCAGCCAGGCCGAGCCGTCTTCATGTTTCCAATCACGCGGACTCCAATTCCCAAGCTCAACCCACAGAGACAGCGATCTGGGGTCAACATGAGGTTTGTCAGCAGCTCTGACCCGCTGCTTCCCGCCAGCCCCGCGGCCGGTGCTGGAATGCTCTCTGCTGCCCCCTGGTGGGGAGGCTCGGTGCAGGGCTCTGGCTGCAAGCATGGGACTCCCCTGTGGCGCTCCCAGAACCTCCAGGCTCTGTCACCTCTGCTGGGTGGAAAACCAACCCAGGACTGAAGCAGCAGATGGGTGCCTGATTCCTTCTCAGAGCTCCGCCCACTGGCAAGTCTCTCCGGGCCTCAGTTTCCCCTTCCATTAAACGAGGGGCTTGGGGGATACCAAGGAGGGGTAACTGCTTAGTAACGATGGGAGGTTTCTTCTGGGGAGATGAAAACATTTAGAAACTAGATGGCGTGAGTGGTTGCACAGTACTGTGAATGCACAAATACCACCACATGATTTGCGTTGAAATAGTTAATCACATGTGCTGTGAATGTCACCTCATTTAAAGTGTTTAAAAGAGAGGCCTGGGAGAGTGCAGTGTATGTGAGAATCACATGGGACACCCACAGTCTCTGAACCTCGGTTTCCTTGCTGTAAACTGGCAAAGAGACCGTGTGAGCCGTGTTCCCTGGGGCCAAGAGATTCCAAGAAAGAAAACCTGGGATTCCTGGGACTGGGATGAGGGCCGGGGGCCGGAAGGGGAGGGGTATGTGGGAACGGCTTGGGGGGCAGCCCAGATAAGGCTTTCAACACTAGACAGCAGCGTCTACACAGGCAGTCTGTGTAGATCACTGCATCTCACTTCCCACAGGGCTGACCAGTGGCCAAAGGTGGGACTGGCCAGGCTCCACCCAGCCAAGTCTGGGAGCAGAGGACACTGAGTGAGGGATCCCTGGGGCCACTCTCACTGGCCTGTCGCTCTCCTGACACCACAAGAGAGGATCAGGAGCTGCCCTTGGGTCCTAATGGGGGACACTTTCCTGGCAGCAGGCTGGCAGGGTGGTGTGGTGGTCAGTGTACTGGGCTCCGCATCTCTGCCCCTACCTGCTGTGTGACAGTGGGCCAGACACCTAACCTCTCTGTGCCTCTATTTCTTCAATGGCGAACAGGGGCACTAGCAGCCCCCACATCCGGGCACAGTGGCCTGAAGGTTAAAGGCAAGGGTGGCATGAGACCTACAACAAAAGCTCTGAGCAGGGAGCTGCCCAGGGAGTTCCACCGCCATCTCCCCTCTGGCAGCCAAGGAAACCGAGGCTCATGGTGACCTGGCCCAGGTCTGTTGGACTCAGGGTCCTTCTCATCCCCAAGATCAGAGGGCTGCCACCAGGGAAGGAGCTGGCCCCTAGTAGACACACCCCAGGAAGCACACAGGGAAGGATGCCCTGGGGACTTTGGTAGGTTATTGAAAAAAAAAAAAAAAAAAACTTTATTGCAATTATGACCCCTGCTTTCATGCCTCCATTTCCCAGAAAATGAGCCACGGGAGACACCAGGAGAGGCAGGAGACCATTCTCCTTGCACAAAACCCACTCCCTCGGATGCTGTCCTCAGCGAGGGTGGCTGGGGGCCAACCAGGGGGCCCACCCGCAGAGTGGCAGAGGCGGCAGGTGGACCCTGCGGACGTTGAGCTCTGTGGCGAAGGTCCTGGCCTTCTGGTAGAAGAGGAGGACTTCTCGCGGTCCAGGAGGAAGTTCTGGTAGATGGTGGCCAGCCGCGTGTAGACCTTCAGCTGTGCCTCCTTGTTGCCCAGGTCCACGGTGGCTGCCAGTGCCAGCTTGGTAGTACCTGGCTGCATCAAATGGGTCCTGAAGGGGACAGACCATGCTCAGCAAAAGGGGGACTCTGTCTGTCTTCCCAGAGGCCGTTCCTGTCTCCGGGTCATTCCACATGTCCAGCCAATCCTGGCTCACCCCATGAGCCCCGAAGCCTGTGACACTGCTGTGGTCTCAGCTGCAGGAGGTGGGGATGACCCCGACACCCCTGGAATACTTCCTGACTGTCCCTATGCCCCCACTCACATCAAGCCTCCTGCCCCAGTCCCACCCTCTCTGCAGGCAGTGGCTGCTTTCCCCATGGGCTGAGGTCAGGGCCGATCCTGCCTGCTCTGAGAGTTCCATGCAGGACCCATGGCTCCAAGCCCCAGCAGGGGCACAGCGTTGAGTGACCCAGGCTCCCCTCTGGCCCCTGTCCTTGCTGACCATTTCCAGGCCCTCCACGGGTCAGGCCAGGTACAAAACCATCTCACAGGTGTCCTCTCTGGCAATGTTCCCTGAAATATTGACAGTGTGACTCCCCAGACATCCACTCCCATTTTCAATGCATCCTTGGCTCAAACTCACCATCCCTGGGTTGGCCTCCCAGACCCCCTCCTTGACCGTCCCATCCCCCACCCAGCTTCTCCCCAGGTGCCTCCTCCACATGGGGGTCACCCAAGGGACCTAAGACTCGTGCCAGGCCTGTCCCCCTTTACCATCTCAAGATGGCTCCCAGGGCCAAGGACAAAGTCCAAGATGCAGCAGTCCATTCCCTCACTGTCCCGCCCCACACACGGAGCAGGGGCATGAGAAGGCCCCGAGTCACCGCCACTGCTCATCCAATGCCCCCACCCAGCCGAACACTGGCCTCTGTGCTGGGTGCATGGCTGAGCCTAACGTCCTTGCTCCCAGGCTGAGGGACCTGGGAGTGAACACTGACCATACAGGGTGGCCTGGGCTGTGGTACAGGGAAGCCCAGGAGCCTGTGGGGGACGAAGGAGGCCCCAGACTCAGCCAGGGGTGGGAGGCAAGGGCTTCCTGAAGGGGTGGGGGCATCCCAACTAAACAGGAAGAAGCCAGCCAAAGCATGTGTGTCTGCGTGTGCGTGTTTGTGTGCGTGTGTGTGCACCTGTGTGTGTCCTCCAGGAAGGAGTTGCTCAGCGCAGGCAGGCCTGTGCCTGTGTGTGCCTGAGTGTGCGTGTGCCTGTGCATTTCAATGTACCTGTAGTGTGTGCAGCAAGTGGCAGGCTGAGCCAGGACACACCTAATCCTCCCTATTCCAGGGCTCACTCTCACGTGTAGACTAAAGGGGACCCCATTTTAGAGGCAATCGGCAAGGATGCCCATTTACCCCTGCCTCTCTGCCAGCCTTCCAGGCCCCATCCAGCCCGGCTTTCTCTCCCACTCCTCCGGGCCCTGGGTCCAGAGCCTCCTGTACAAGGAGGAGGGCGTGGCCTTGGCAAGACAGCCTCCCTTGGGAATTCTGAGGGGGCCTCCCTGTGAGAAGCTGGCCTGTGCTGACAGCATAGTCACAACGAGGCCCAGAGGGCTGTGCAGGGGAAAGTGAAGGACGCCTCTGCCCCTCGACCCCAACCGTGGACGTTGGCCTCTCAGGTACTACTTGGTCCTTTCCTTCCTCCTGGGCAGGCGGAGTGGGCGGCAGGCTTGACCAAGAGAGAGAAAGGCCCCTTCTGGGAGGCCCGTCCCCTGGATCCCAGGTGAGCCCCTGAGCAGTGAGCAGCGTCCCTCTGGGCCTGACACCTCCCTGTCTGGCTGGGACTTGGGAGGCCACAGGGACCACTTCTGACCACCAGGTGTCACCAGCACTGGGCGCGGGCAGGGCAGCCCCAGGCCTGTGGTGGGGAATACAGGGCAGAGTCTTAGGGCTGCCCCAGCTCCTCGTGTTGTTCTAAGGCCCCCAAGATCTCAGTCCCTGGACTGGAGTGCCCTGGCCCCTCAGCCCATAAGGAGCACTGATGCGGTGTCGGTGCGATGCTGAGGAGGGGCGGGCACCTGCTGGCCAGAGCGGTGGAGACACCCCAGGTCTGAGTCTGTCAGTCCCAGCTCTCCACCCCTGCAGGGCTGAGGGCAGAGGGAGTACCGGTCCCAGCACCTTCCCTCGAGACAGACCCAACCCAGCAAGGCCTCAGTCTGGCTAGCTTGGGCCCCGCCCCATTGCACCTGCCCTGCGCTGGGGTTTCCCTGTCTGTGAAGCACATGGTAAGACACTGGCCCCACCCCCCCTCTTCCTGGGTGATGTGAAGATTCAAGGTGTCTCGGGACTCCAGGAAGGAGTTGCTCAGTGCGGGCTGGCACCCTGGGCAGGCTTCCTAGAGGAGGTGCTGGGATTTGGGCTGGATCTTGCAATGTGGATTCAACGTGAGGATGATGCCGTCCTCCTAAATGTCCTCCTCCCGACCCTGCTTTTGTTAAACGCAACTTGACACTTGACTGTCAAGACTCAGCTTTGGTGTCACCTCCTCCAGGAGGGCCCCCCCGACTACAATCCCCCTTTACCCAGAGGCCACCATTGCCTGCTCATGTGTCAGCCTCCCTGGCTGAGACTGAGTTCTTGAGGGTGGGGCCTGGCCAGCTTGGGAGTTGGGTTGTATCTCTTAACCTTACCTGCTCCTCCAGCCAGGTGCAGAGCTCCAGGGAGGCCACTGGGCCATTCCTAAGGAAGGCTGAAACCCAGGACTCTGGGGTCTGGGTGGAGATCCCACTCCAAGGGGGCCGGGAGCACCCCGAGCCCTGCCCCTCCCCACCCACCTTCAGGTCATAGATGATGTCACCGAGCACCAGGTACACCTTCAGGTAGTAGAAGGTCTCGAGCGACAGGGCCTTGAGGTAGAAGTGCTCCACCAGCTTGCCATGGCCCAGCTGCTGGTGCAGGGCAGCCAGCCGGTGGTAGGCCATGCACTCGTTCAGCCGGTCCCCTGGGGTGCAGGCCAAAGGGGCAGGTGTGAGGACGTGGCTTCCTGGGGCAGGCAGGGCACAGGCCCCTCAGGAGCAGGTATGCAGACTCCGGGCAGCCCCTGGCTTGCCTCCAGGCACCTGCGGTCACCTGGGCAGCTCTGGCCAGTCCCTTCCGGGTTTCCAGACTCGCTTTCCCATCTGCAAAGCAGAACTAGTAAGGCCTGTCTCCGTCTACTGTGAGGCTTTGGCAAAGTCGGACTTGGATGGCCCAGCTCTGCCTACACAGAGCCACCTGCCTTTGCTCACTGGTGTTAACCACGGGAGCCCAAAAGCCATGCAGTCCAGGTGCTCCCGGGCACCAGGGCTCCAGGCAAACCACAGACGTGACATCCGACTCCTGGGTGTGTCACGATCAGAGCCCCCTACCCTGGGGAGTCACTGCGTGCCTGAGCTCCAGGTCCCCCCACAGATGTGCAAACCCACCTCGGCTGTCTCCGATATCTTTCCCTTTTCAGGGTGAGTGCCGTGGAGCCAGCATTCAATGCATTCCCACACAGCTGCACACCTACTGTGTACTGGGCCCCGGGGCACAAGGCGCTGGGGCATGCGGCCTGCCCAGGGCTCCCTGTCTCTGGAGGAAGACAGACAACCCTGGCACAGCACCAGGGGATGCCCAGCCTTAAAGGGCAGGCTGCTGGAAGGGGAACTGGGACTTCATCAGCCAGAGAGCTGTGATGCTTGATGAGGGTGGGAAGGGCACAAGAGAAAGGGAATATGCCATTCAGCCTGGCACAGGGACCAACGAGATGCCTGGCATGTCTGGAAGGCAGAGGCCACACTGGGCAGCCCTTGTGGTCAGCAGCGGGAAGAGGCAGAGGAAGCAGACCTCAGCCAGGCAGGGAGCTCTGCACCGCATGAGAGACCTCGGAATGTGCCCCACGGCCAGACGGGGAAGCCAGCTGGGCAGAAAACCAGGAAAATCTGGCAGGTGTTTCAGCGCCTGCCCTGAAGACCTGGAGGCTGGGCTCTGGCAAAGTGTGGCTCCTGGCAGGGTGGGGGCTCAGGGGACTTACCCAGAGTGATGCTGAGTGCTAGGGCCATGTGGGCAAACTCCAAGCCCTCCTGGGGTTCCTCCAGCGTGGCCAGCAGTGCCACCAGCTTCTTGCATAGCCACAGCTCCGCCTTGCAGTTGCCCGTAGTCACTGCCAGGAGCAGCGCCCGTTCCTACCACACAGGTAGGTGGGGTCAGGCTTCCCGCAGCACCCACCTTGCCCAGCGCCCTCCTCAGAGCCCGAACATGTGCTTGGAGCTTCCCACGCCCCAGATACCCCTGGATCTCGACGCAGCTCTGTGCTCTGGGATAACGCACAATTCAAACACCCAAGTTGGGGGCTGAAGAGTCACCTGAGGCCCATCCAGCTACACCCGGCAGCCTCAGACCAGCCTCTCCCACCTGGGCACCGGAGGTCTGACTGGGGGGAGCCAGCACTCCTCTCTAAAAACATATTTATCTGTGCCCAGGGCTGAGCCACACCGTGAGCTCAGAGGAAGGGAGAAGCCGTCCCCACTTTGGGATGCATGCAGTCCTGGACCTCCCACTGACATGCTGTGTCCTTTGACATGTCCCTGTGCCCCTCTGAGCCTCAGTTTCCTCATCTGTAAGATGAGGACAGGACTTCCCGCTCATGGTTGCTTGAGAGCATCAGGTGCAAGGGTAAGGCCATTGCCATGTCCAGGCCCCAAGCGTTCGTCCCGGGCACAGTATCATTCCCGGTGAGACCACTAGGAAACTAAGCATGTGCATGGGTGGCCCTGCCTCCAGGTGGGAGGCCTCTGCCCTGCCACACCTGTGCCTCAGCCCTCCAGGTGCCCCCCTGAGGCTCACCCACATCAGCCCACAGGCCAGCTCACCCGGTAGAAGGACACGGCTTTCTCCCGCTCCCAGGCCCCATTGAAAAAGATGTCTTCAGCTTCCTCAAACAGCTCCAGCCCCAGGTTCGGGTCGCCTGTGTACAGGGCCACATTCTGTGCCCCGTGAAAGAAGGCAGAAGTTCCCTCAAGACCCACACGTGGCAAGGTGGCCACGCCCACCTTCGCCAGCCTCCTTCCTCTCATATACTGCAGGTACACCTGAGCATTTTTCAGACCCTGGGTATTAGGGCTGCCACCACCACTGGCACGAGGACAATGAACTGATGAACCTGAGTGCCAGGAGGTGACTGAGTAGCTGCAGCCCAGGAGCCCGACACCTGTGAATCCTACCACCAGGGCTAGCCCTAGACCACTCTCCCTGCACCCAAACCAGTCTCCATGGCCCCCAGATTGCTGGGAGCCCAGCCCCTGGCTCCTTTCCGCATTGCCACATCCCTGCCACAGCTCCGGACCGCACACCAACAGTGTTTGCGGGTGGGCCTGGTCCCCTCTTGGCCATGAGCTCTTGATCCCTCTCCTCAGCTCAAGGAGGTATACAGCAGGTGCTCAATGATGAAAGCTTCACCAGGTTCATGGGCTTCACAAGTTGTTCCAGATCACACTGTTTGGGAAAGCCTCTGAAAACAGCCGCTACGACAGATGCATTTTGTAAGGAGATGTGCCACGTGTCATCTGGAGCAGGTTCTTCTGTGTGTTAACTGAGTGGCCACATTATTTGAGCATGTGCTGTACACCATCAGGTGCTGGGCACTGTGAGGGGCCCCGCCTCTGCCCTCAGGGAGAAGATGCTGGCCACTGGGGGAGGATATGAGGGAACCAGTTGGACGGAGGGAAAAGGCATACAACAGATGCTCAGCAGTGGCTTAGGAATGAGTGGATGGATGGATGGATGAATGGATCAGCAGATGTATAGACATGGATAGATGCTTGGATGGATGGATGGACAGATGAATGGGTGGGTGGTTAGAATGATGTGTGTATGTATGGGTAGGTAGACAATGTATGGATGGGTGGAGGGTAGCTGATGTATGTACATATGGATGGATAGATGGGTGGATAGACAAATGTATGGATAAACAAATGGACAGATGAATGAAGGGATGTATTAATAGATAGATTGGTGGGTAGATGGATGATGGATGGATGGAAGGATGAAGAGGTGAATGGATGGATAATGGGAAAATGGATGAACAGGTGAATGGATGGACGAACAGGTGAATGGAAGGATGGATAGAAGGATGAACAGTGAACGGTTGGATGGATGATGGAAAGACAGATGGAAGGATGGATGATGGATGGACCCACAGGTGGATGGGTAGATGATGGAAGGATGGATGAACAGGTAAACATGATGGAAGGATGAATGGATGGGTGGATGGACAGGTGAATGGATGGATAGACGGGTGAATAGATGGATGATAAAAGGATGGATGAATGGACAGATGGATGGATGGATGGACAGAGAGTGAACAGCACAGGGGCCCTCCTGCAGCCCTTGCCACTCAACTCGCACCAGCTCGCTCTGCCGCAGGATGTAATAGATCTTCCCTGCTTGCAGCCAGGCATGCGCCTCCTCTTTCTTCTGGAGGTCAATGAAAATCCCCAGACTTCGTTTGGTGTAGTCCAGAGAGGATGTAGGCCCTGGAATCAGACACAGATGTCAGAATAAGGGCTCTCATCCTCCTGAAACCAGTCTGCCTCCTCCTGTGGGTCTGGTGACAGATGAATCTGGAATGTGGGGACTGGGAACGGCCCTCTTGTGTGTGCAGTGTTCTGCCCTTCCCAGGCTGCTGGGAGGGCCAGGGTGAACACACACGGCATGGAAAAGATGAAGGACATCCTTCTGAGGGAATCGAGCATCGTGCTGCCCTGTGTCCCCACCAGGTCAGGATGCTCGGGGGAAGCCAAGTGGGCCACATATGGGATGTGAGACCTTGAAACCCTGCCCCAGGGAAGCAGGTGACACAACTGGCTCTGGCTGCTGTGGTCACATTTAAGGGGATAGATGAAGGCCAGGAGTGAAGACTCAGGGCAGGCAGAGGTCAGATGCTGAAAGCCACCCTAGTAGGAAGAACAGCCCAGACTGCACGTACTGCCTCTGCTGGGGTTGAGATGACCTTTGGGGAGGTGTGCAGGCAGGGATGGGAAGACGTGTCACCCAACGAGAGAGGCTCAAGCTGGGACTCGGGCCATCCGCAGCCTTGGGACGACCCCAGGCCCAGCAGCTCAAAGAATCTGATGCCAAGAAACCAAATGATCCCAAGGACAGGGGCTGCTGGGGCCTTTGGCCAGCTTCCCTGTGCTCCCCTCCCTGCCCTGCTCCCCCGCCCTCTTTGTGCCCCTCCCCGCAGTGGGGGCTTGGGTGCTGGGTTCCCACAGGGTCTCCTTCCAGTCAGAGAATGTCCCTGGGGAAGAAGCCTGGGTCTGAAACCCCCACCCCTCCTTGGGCAGATGTGTGGGACCGGGGCCCCTTCACATGGTCCTCTCCAAAATCTCATCCCTCCTAGGGCCAGGAGTGGGTGACAGGCCTGTGCTGGGAAATGGGCAGATCTGGCCACAGCCCCTGGGGCTCTGGGCCAGGCCACAGGAGGCACCTCTGAGTGGTCTCAGTATGCCATGACGTCCATCCTGGGAGGATGGACAAAGCGCTGCAAGGCAGAGGGGATCTTATAGCATCCCTTGTCTTGGTCATTTCCCTAGACTCAACTTCCTCATCTATCCTATATCCTATTCCTGCGGCCTAGCTTTCGGACAGCCCTGCCCACCTACTGTCTGTTCACTACTCAGTCTGCAGTGACTGTTCTATAGCACTCCATGGCTCCCCAGTGCTCTTGGGGAAAAGGCCAAGCCACAGCCTGAGGCCCCAGGCCCTGCTTAGCTCTCCAGAAGAGCTTCTCACCATCCAGCACCCAACCCACCCACTCCCAACTCTGCACCTCCCTGCGTAAGCCCGGCTCACTCAACCCTGCTCACACTCCCGCTCACTCGCCCACTAGCTCACCCCTGGGCCTTCACACAGGCTACACCACCAGCCCCTCTCCCCTACCACCACCATCTATTACTTGACTAAATCCTCTCAACCCTCTGGTCCCAGACTAAAGAGGCTTCCCTAACCCGGGGCCAAGTGCTGCCCCGCCATCACGCCACTCACCCTTTTGTGGCTTCTCTGGCCTGAAGCTCACATTCCCACGTTCAGCCCCTGCCACCCGAGGACCCCACAAGCCCCATTTGTGGGTGGGGCCTGGCCCACTCTGCACAACGAGCTGCTTTTGCATGAACCGCTCTGCGGCTTTGGGCAATCACCTGCCCCATGTCCTCTGTGAAGTGGGATGACAAGTGCACAGACTGCCGATACACCAAGCAGATAACATGGGCACAAGAACCGGCGTTCCAGGCCTGGCTCATGGAGGGGCCCCAAGTCCCAGCTCAGCAGAGCCTGCCTCGACCCCAGGGTTATGTCTAGGGATTCCCAGCATGCAGGACTTTCAGTGCTCAAGGCAGGATCGTCCCTGGGCAAACCGGGAAGAGCTGGCTGCCCCTCCATGGGAATGGCCTGTCTCCAGGGCGCTTGCCAACATCTGCTGTTGGCCCTGACTCAGCACTTTCGATGGTGGAAAAACCACCACTTGTTTCTGAATCACAAACCCCAGGTGTGCCCTGACCCAAGTGGCCCCGGAAGGTGCACAGGAGGAACTGGGGCACTCACTCTCCACGTGGCCCATCTCCACGGCGACCAGACAGGCCCACTCATAGTAGCCCTTGCCCTGCTGAGCCAGGCCCTGGTGGGTGCAGAGGTGGCCCAGCTGCAGGAGCACGTGGGTGAAGCCCCGGCCACATTCTCCGCAGGGCAGCCTCGAGAACAGCCTCATGGCCTCCAGGAGGTCGTGCTGGGCCAGCCTGCTGGCACCCACATGCAGGCACTGGGCCCCGAAGTTGGCCAGCACCACTGCCTGGTTCCTCCGCTGGCCCAGGTCCCGAGCCACCCGTAGGGCACGGTAGTAGCCCTTGGCTGCCTGCCTCATCCGGCCCGTCCTCTTCAGAGCCATGGCCTCCATGTTGGCAATCACGCCCTCCTGGTCCTCGCTGGCCACCACTGGACAGAGTGCAGGATGTCCAGGCCACTGGGCTCTGCCCATGAAGCACGTGCAGGCAGTCCACGATGGCACGGACTCCGGCAACAGCACTGGCCTCCACCGCCTGCGTCAGGAAGGTGATGGCCGGGCCGTGGTAGCCATGGTGGCTGTACAGCTGGGCCAGGCTGGCGTGGAGAAGGCCGCGCAGCGCCTGGCCTGTGCCCGGGGTTAGGGAGGCCAGCGCTCGCCTGAGGTAGTGGGAAGTTTGGGTGGGCAGGCTGTGGGGCTGGAGGATGTTCTGGAGCACCAGGTTCACGCTCCTCAGCGAGCCGGCCAGCGAGTCCTGTGTCCTCAATGAGGCCACCTTGACACAGCTCAGCACCAGGTGGGGCAGGCACTTGCAGCTGTAGATGTCAGCTAGGAGTAGGTGACAGTCTGAGAGCCATGCAGCCTCTGGGGCTCCCGAGTCCCTGTGCAAAAGCAGCAGCCGCTCTAGGACGGGCAGGGCCTCCTCGGGCTGCTTGAGGTGCACGCGGTGCCTGGCCAGCAGGAAGCAGGCCCGGGCCTCAGCCTGCAGGCTCTGGCCACCCACCGCCTGCCGCAGCACCAGCTGTAGGAGCTCCCCCTCCACCTCGGTGCTGCAGATGTGGCCAGGCGTCCCCAGGAGCAGGGCCATGGCTTTGGGAACCACTTGTGTACACTTCTCCCAGTTCTTCTGCTTCCAGTAAATGCTGGCCAGGTTGGTGTACACAGCCACCACCAGGAACAGGTCCCCAAAGCTGCCCTCCAGGGCCCCCGGTGCTTCCTCAAAGTACACCCAGGCCTGGGACAGCTTGAGCCTCCTGCTGCACAGCCACCCCAGGAGGAAGCAGAGCCTGGCCAGGGCCATGACGAGGCCAGCTTTCTTGGCCACCCCTCGGGCCTGTGCCAGGCGCCCAGTCAGCTCCTCGTCGCTAAAGCTGCAGAACACGCTGCTCAGCCATGGCAGCGCCACGTCAGCTGGCCTTGTACCCGGGGGCATTCAGGAACAGCAGCAGTGAGCTCAGGGCCTCTGGGTCCTCCCAGTCGTCCTCAGCTTCCAAGCAGAAGGAGGGCTCCTCGGGGTCCTGCAAGCTCACGTTGCTGGATGCTGGAGGCAGCCTGGGCAGGTCTTACATTGTTCCAGAACATTCTTCATCTTCTGCAGGGTCTCCTGTGACTCTGGGCCCAGGCAAGGTGGAGGTATTTCTGCAAGTCACAAAAACACCTAGACAGATTAGAGTCCAGCAGTGAGTCCTTGGTCCACTGGGGACAGGGTCCCCGCATCCCTGCCCTCTGTGTCCCTGGTGCAGCTTGCCATGAGCCCTTGAGAATTATGTGCAATGCAAACCCGGGGCCTGGAGCACGTAGGAACTCCGGCACTATGGGAACAGAACACGCAGGCCCGTGGCCCGACTCTCCTACGAAATCACCCTCCTGTCCTGCTTTGTCGTCCACCTGACGGCACGGTTTTAGGGCACTATGTCAGCTCAGTGATCCCTCAGAGATGCCTTTCCCTTTAGAAAGAAAGCCTAACTGGACCCATGTATATGCAACACTACAACTACAAATGTAACTTTTGTCAGCATATCCGGCCCCCCGATGGGGTAAAGGAATCCATGAAATCCCCAACAGCCAATCAGCTATTGAGCAGCTCAAAAGTTGCTATGCAAAATTGGTAAAGCCACCGACAGCACAGGACAGGGATGTTGTACCCATGTACCCAGCTCCGTGCAGGGAAACGGACCATCCCTGCAGGAAGGATGGGAAAGTTTCCAGGCCCCTGTGGCCACCTTCACCTTGGATGGTCTGAAAACCTGAACCCCACAGTTCCTAAAGGGTTAACAAAGGCCAGGCTGCTCAAGCAGCCCACTGGCTGGCGCCTGCTGGCTTCTTAGCCAAAGCCCCCTCCCAGAGGTGAGCAAACAAGCGCATTTCCTGTTGGAAAACCTGGGATGAAAGGAGGCATTACTGGGAAAGAAAAAACCTAAACAGACTCTGTTTCAGGCTCACATGTAAAAAGTATTTTC